TAACGGCGGGCATGTAACATTAGCGAGTTTACGAAAGGCGATTTTTCTCACGACGCCGACGCCGTGATGTCACGGCGTCGTCCAAAGTTAGATTAACGTTACGAATTCCCCCCAGAGCGCGCCGCCGCCAATTTCGCGCCAAAATGTTAGCAATACAAAATAACAATACAAAAAAACTTTTTGTAAAAACAGGAAAAACAAAAATTTCTTTCGGGATGCCAAAATTGAGAGATGTTCGACGATTTCTTTTACATGCCAATTTTGATGGATTGATTGATGACGAAGAGTTTCTTCTGTTGTATAATTTGAATACGGCAAAAAGCCCAGATTTACCTTACTGGATTTACAAGCAATTCGATTTGGATGATTTGTGTGATGATGAGTGTGTGACAGAATTTCGTTTTTTAAAAAACGACATTTATAATTTGGTTGATGTTATGAGATTACCTGATGTTTTAACGTGTTACAACGGGCTTAAAGTCGATCGAATTGAGGGTATGTGCATATTTTTGAAACGTTATGCATATCCATGTCGCTACTTAGATATGATGCCCAGATTTGCTCGACCTGTTCCACAGTTATGTATGATAAGTAATTTAATAATGAACCACATTTACACAACTTGGAATCACCTATTGTCCACGTTTAATCAAGACTGGTTATCTATTGAAAACTTGATAAAATTTTGTGATGCTGTGCACCAAAAAAGTGGAGCGATGGAGAATTGCTTCGGTTTTGTTGATGGTACTGTAAGGCCTGTTTCTCGACCTGGAAAAAAAACAAAGAGTACTCTATAATGGTCATAAAAGGGTGCATGCCATAAAGTTCCAATCTCTAGCAGTTTCAAATGGACTTGTGGCGAACTTGTACGGGCCAGTAGAAGGTAAGAAACATGACAGTTCCATGTTAGCAGAATCTGGTTTGTACAACAAATTGGAAGAGCTACACATTCTACCAAACGGACGTCCCTGTGTATATGGAGATTCAGCATATCCCAATCGTCCTCAATTACAGGGTCCATTTAAAGGTGCTAATATAACACCAGCACAGCAAGAATGGAATACTGCTATGAGTAGGGTTAGAGTCTCAGTCGAGTGGATTTTTGGCGACATTGTAAACTATTTTAAGTTTGTCGACTTCAAGAAAAAAGAAAAGTACACAAGAAAAGTACACCTCAGTGCCGTTGGTAAAATGTACATTGTTTGTGCTCTTTTTTTGTGGTGTTACTTGTATGGGTCAATGACATCAGAGTATTTTGGAGTCAGCCCTCCTGAAATTGCTGAATACTTTGTCTAAGATATTGAAAGGAATTCTCAGATTTGACTCAGCGTCATCAATTTTTCTTCCCGCTTTTCAAATTGTACACCAGAATTAAATTACCTCAGTTCATATATTTCCCAAATATGACGATGAAAAATTGATAATGCTAAGTCGGATGGTCCAATAATAAAGTTGTGGAATGGGCATTTCTATACACCCTTTCGATAATTACGTCACACATACTTTTTGGTCTTGGAGAATCGCTCTCATTAGTAAATTACGCAAGGTGATTCGCTCACGATTCATGAGAGCGAGGCTAACAGGCCAAATGACGTAATTATCGAAAGGGTATATCATAGAATTGCCTTCCATAGTTAAACTATACCAACTGTTGCTAACTAATTTAGTCACTCTTGCATTATTTATACTTGGATCATGGAGATAAATTTACAATTTTGAGAGTATGATGAGGCATGTGTTTATTTATGAAACGTGTACTGTTACATAGCAATTTCTCACACAAGGCAAATTGTTTTAATATAAAAATGTGCTGATTAAATAAACTACTAAACTTGTCATTTGGGATTAACATGCAACATGATTATACTTAAAACATAACAGAATCATTGTTAATGGAAGGAAGTACAAAAACATTCTAATTCTTGTTAGCAATGTTCTGCATAAGTGCTATGAGTGCAGCATTCTGCACTTGCATCTGTTGGATCAACTGTTCTTGTTGTCTCTGTTGAGCTGAAATTGTATCTTTTAATACATTAGTTAAAGCTCCTTGTTGAGTGATGAAGGAATCCTGCTGTGCTTTTCTTTCATTCAATTCTTCCTGTTTCAATTTTAGCTCCTCTCTTTTTAACTCACTGTCCATTTGATATCTCTGTTGTAAATAGGCAGTCGTATCTGATCCATTGGACATCTTTCTCTTGCGTTTTTCCCCTTGATCTCCTCCCTTTCGTTTTTTACTTTCAGCTAGTGATTCCATAGCAGACTGCCTCATTTCCAGTATTTTTGATGCATCAGCCTCACATTTTTCTTTCTTTTCAGAATCTTTTTTCTGGTCTTCTTCATCCTTGCCCATGAAGCGCTCAATGATGTCTTCCATAGCATCTTCAAATTCACTCTGATCTGGTGAAATGCCAGAAGCCTTTTCTTCATCCCTCAATCTTTTCTTTTGTTGCTTTTCCAGTAAATTATAATGATCCCTAACAGACTTTTGTGTTACATCAAACTTAGGATCATCAAGATCGTTCAAAGAAGCACTGATCTGTTCCCAAACATTTCCTCGTTGTGGTGATCCCTTCCTATACTTCCAGGGCTCGAATAAAAACATCTCCCGAATGAGCATTTCATTGTGTTGCTCTGTCCAAATCATGGGCTTTTTGCTATATTAATTTTGAACAAAAACATGGTATTAATCACCTGTCAACATTATTAAGCTGCTGGAATGGAGTTCAACCATGTATTGGGTACCAAATCAAATCTACACTGCAGTTGTTTAATTAAACTCTACCAAATGCTTGACAAATGTCTCGTGTTATATTAAATAGGGGGAATTTGATCGCCATTGACATTTGCTGCCCCATGGTAGCGCATTTGATGAAACTTTAATTTAATGTTTGATAACATTGATAGGCATGCATTACCAGTCATGTCAAAATTCCCTGCTGGAGTACTGCTTCACAAAAATTAAAATCAGGACTATAACGGTGTTTTAAAACATAAATAATAGATGTGAAACTATAAAACGAAACATCAGTAAAAGTGAACTAAACTATAACTAAGAAAGCGATCATAATTTCACGATTAAAATCCAACATGTTCTGTTGTAGTATTTTATATATAGACTATAGTACAACATTCTTGTATAGTTTGAAACGAAATAACGTTAAAAGGCGTTCTAAATTACTCGAAACATGGCCTATTGGTTAGATTATTTTAAAATAATATTACGGTTCGCTTAAATAAGTTATTAAACGTTCAGAACATATCAGACTTTACCTTTTTGAAGTAACTACTCCTTTCTCCGCCATCTTGAATTTTGACGACGCGATCAAATCAGCTTTGCTGACGGCGTCGTGGCTGCACGAGGCAGCCTAAAATATTCCACGCATGCGCGCATTGCTCTTCTGGCGACGCCGTCGCTTGAACTCGTCATTTCGTAAACTCGCTAATTCGTCGCTTCGACGATCGCATCGACTGCTCCAGTTCTGTCGTCGCATTTAGCAGCTTCGAGTTTTGTTGTCATCACCGATATTGCCACCGAGAATGGTAGCTCCTTCGCTGGTTCCTGCGGCGGCTTCGGCGGCTTTTCTGATGGTGTTGCCAGCTGTGCCTTCGTCCGTGTTTACAACGATGTTTAATCCTCAACGTTTCCCTCCACAGCAAGCTCTGGGGCCATCGGTTGCTTCTAGTGTCGCGCCGCCCTGTACCCTACCGAGTGTTCCTCAGTGGCCTCCATTCGCTAAAGCGCTAGTCCCACAGTTGGCGACGGTTCCCGCAGGACAAGGAACCAAAATTTTTTCCAGGTACGCCATCTTTGTTTTTAACCAGTACCCGGTCGCCGGTACCAGGGTATCTATTCCGGGGTGCGTTTCCCCGGTTTTGGTTTCGTGGCCCCTGGTTCTTCCGTGTATCTCCCTGCAGCCCTTCCCTCGGTTGTTGTGGGGCTCGGTATCCCACCCGTCATTTCGTAATTAGTTGCTACGATTGTTTCGGAGGTGTTTACCGCTTTCGCGTGTCTGTTGGAGACCCACGCCGTCGCTGATACGCCCTCGTTTTCCTTCGTAGCCGATCAGCTGGTGATTCGCCCTGCCAAACGGCGTAAAGAGATAACCGATATTCTCGTGACCCGCAGGTTAGGAGGTCCAGATTTTCGGACGTTTCGTTCCTGTCTGAGACTGCATGTTGATGCTTTTTTGTGGTGCCAATTAATTGACTTTGTGATTCCGAGTTATTTAACTTCATGTTACTCAGTTTAATTAGCATGTACTAACGATTAATAACAGTATTGTTTCAAGTTAATTAGCATTATTGTGGTGAATCAATTAGCATTATTTTTGTTCCGAATTCTTTACCGCTATTTAGTGGCACTATTCTTTTTCAGGGCGTTTGCGTGCCTTTTGTGTTTTGTTTTTGTTTGTTTTGGTTTGGGTTTTTTTTAGGGGTGGGGGCTCTCTTGTGTGTAATGTCCTAGTTTTCGCATTGGGGCTGTGACGTCCGAGGCTACCGCTGGTATTCCTGATCACCGTTGGGTCGTTGGAAGAGTCAGGCATACCTCAGATACATCCGTACCGCACCGGACATGTTTCTAAGTATTGCCCCGCTGCTGTAGGGTTGGAGACATCTGGAGGAGGTTAACGGTAACCTTTTCCAACCCCCCCCCCCGACAGGTTGGAGACATTATGAAGAGGGTACCGTTTAGGTTCCAGATGTGGTGGTGTTAGACATGACCAGGAAGAAGCTTGAACGATGGTCGTATTACCGGAGCCTAGCATGATCGCTTCGCCAAAAGCTCGTTCGCATTCGCCAAGCTCGTTCGCTTCGTTCGCATCCCTACCGATCAGCAACGGGCAATACTAGTTAGTAGGTACTGTAATGCTGCATGCCTATTCCGCACAATAGCTGATGGTAACCCCAGCATTGTTAATTAAGCATCACGTGAGATCATTAAATGTATTTATTATTTATAATAAAGGAAGTTAATGCCGAGGAGATGCTCGCAGCATAGTTACTTGCCGGGGGTTGACCACAGGGTATTGTTACCCCCTAATACTATAAATAGCCTTGCCTTTGTCGGCTAGTTGATAACTGGTCGTTCCCTTCGCCCGCCTCCCTCCCCTAGCAACCACCGAGTCCTGACAGTCGGGTATTTGTTGTTGGTTGGTTTTATTTGTGTGTGTCTTGTGGTTCAGTCCTTTTTGTTAGGACATGAGTTCGTGATCAGCCTTGCGCCATTGGGGCATGTGGATCTCAGGTACTGGTAGTCGACCGTCAGGGTAAGCATACTTTTCATTTTTTGTTTGGTGTGGGTGCGTATGTGTGTTTGTTTATTTCTCTCTTCCAAGTGTTTCGCTTCTTGTGATTCACGTGTGACTGTGTGATCAAGTGATGGAGAGGGTACCGTTTAGGTTCCAGATGTGGTGGTGTTAGACATGACCAGGAAGAAGCTTGAACGATGGTCGTATTACCGGAGCCTAGCATGATCGCTTCGCCAAAAGCTCGTTCGCATTCGCCAAGCTCGTTCGCTTCGCCGTGCTACCATCTCCATCCCTACCGATCGGCAACGGGTAATACTAGCTAGTAGGTACTGTAATGCTGCATGCCTATTCTGCACAATTATGGCTGATGCTAACCCCAGCATTGTTAATTAAGCATCATATGAGATCATTAATGTACCTTAAATGTTCATATTTCCACACACCCAAATCTTGTCCCTCGGGTGGCTCCAATATCAACGATATGTTTTCAAAATCAGATTTGATCAATTGCTGGATATACTACAATAACAAAGGCCAAACTTGGTATAGGTTTGATACGAGGTTATGACACAAGCTTAAAATACTACTTACAAAATTCAATAGAAAAGCATGTTTAATCAATCAATATCTGTAAATTCCGTTTTCTTTTCCATTCTACGATCGCTTTGCCCATGTTGGTTGAGCGACCCATGCAAGTCACGTGTGTAATTAGTTGCTCGCGTGCACATCAACATTCTATAGTTCAACATTCATGGTGTATATAGTTCAACATTCAAGCTGGACAGCTACAACGCATGTTCAAAAAATATTCGTTCATCATGATCTATTATCAGGACTTATTCGTGATATTTACATAAACATTAGCTTCGATTTTCTCGGCTAAAACTAACCATATCGCCAAAACAGTTGGTTAACCAATACACTTAATATATTTCAAGCAATACAAAGTATTCACATCCAATCTGCATGTAAATGCTGGTCCTTCTTAGGTTACAAAAAAAATCGCCAAATTAAAAGTTCTTTGTAGATTGAATTTTCGAACTTAATATACACTTTTACATCGGTACACAATCACGGAAAGTACGGAAACACTTACTTGTTGTACTGCTAAAGTGCTATCCATTTCTTCAAAAGGCTCATCAGGCCAACTGTACATTGCCTATATATAAGAATAACATTGTAAACATTTTAGTGAAATTTGTTACTGTCTAAATAGCCAGTAAATGACCCGGCTAGGGAGTAAAGCAGGGGGCCAGGGTTGCCCCCCCCCCCCCATTAATTCCTGAAAGCCTTTCAACCCCTTAAAACCGCCAAGCTAGTTGTAATTCTGCTTGCTAAACGTCCCTTTTATCAAAGTTTATCACGATATGATGGAACCTAAACAGAACTGAAGTCACTGTGAAATGTTTTTGTATCAGTTTAAGTTTTTTTGTCACGGTGATTGCACTCATTATATTGAGGTATCGTCCATTAGGGATAGCCGAGGTGAAACGTGCAACCACATGCAACCATAATATTTAATGAAGTTGAGACAAAGGATTTGTCAAACAAAGGTCTTCTATTTCGTGGTTTTAATGTTCGCCGGCCTACCATACCGTCATCTATTGATTGACTATGTTTTTATCTTGCCCACGACAAGCGTTAGATTACATCACTGCCATACCGTGTCAACATAGACCATAGTATCAAACTGTGCTACTGAATTTATACAGACCACAGGGAGCACATCCCGGGTTTTATTGAAGTTATGTATTAGCATTACATATGAAATATATAGTGTTGAAGCTTGCGAGTTGCGGATTAAAAATTTAATCTAAGAGTCAAAAAAATTTAAAAGTTTATGCAAATTTGCATGATGGAATAAAAGTACTTAGAAATCTATTAGTTTTAATATGTGGGAGCTCATAAGTTCGCTGGTAAATTAAATAGTAATTAGCTACATTAGGTGCATATAATAGGTTACGAAGTTTATGATAACTGTTTATAATGACCGAGCTAAATAGCTTATCGCAAAGATTCTGACGTCTGGAAGATAGGGTGCATAAACGCGAAGTCAATAATCTGTCTTCATATGGAACATTTGGGAAGATGATGGACAAGGCTCGTTTTTGGCCTCGTTCTAAGGATTCCAGAAGGTAAAGTGGCAACATATAATGGAAAACTTGTGCGCGAATAGATCGAATGCATGTAGTGTAGATCTTCTGCCGGAAGCCATTAGCTCTTTTCAATTGAACAAGAAAAAACAATCGTTTGTTAGCTTTTTTAATCACTTCATTGACATGATTGTTCCATTGAAGATTGTCCGACACTGTAAGGCCTAAAATAATGGCATGATGTCAATAGGCTCACTGTTGATTAATGCCCTCAGTTTGAGCATCAACCTCTATAAGTAATATAAAGAATTATAACTAACCAATCATGTGCTTGGTACAAATTTTGTAGCAAAGGAAGTGAGATTTGTATCGCGTGCCACCAGAGGTTCTCTTCGCCTCGCGTAAAATAAATACGAGCGGGAATAAGGCGAAAGATACGAAAACCTCTGGCAACCAGGGTATATCTAAGTATGCGTTTGCA